TTTGAGCATGTATTGGCTTTTTTCCCCGAAGATCACCAGTAAGGCCCGAACAAGTTACTTAAATTTTTTGTAGATCTTTTTTATTATTATTTTTTGGAATTTCTTTTTTTTTTTTTGAGTGTGGCCTTTGCAGTTTCTGTTTTCATTTTAACATTCTTCGCCTAAGCTTTTTCGTGTTATTTTTGTGTTTATTTACTTTTTTTTAATTTTTTTTTGTCTTTGTCACTATTTCTTTACTCTATTTTTATATACAAATTTAATTTGCTTCAAATCTACATACTTACATATATATTTTATTTTTGCTTTATGCTTTGAATGATTGCCAAAAAATTTGAGCGCGTTTATTAAGTGACACAAAATAGGTATACAAAATGTGTGCTATTCGTATGTATATTTGTATGTTTGTAAAATGGTATGCGTAAACTAAAGCAAAGCAAAGCAAAGCTATAAATGATCGAGATGTTCATACAAAATACACACATACGTACGTACTCGTACATAAAAATAATTCAGTTATTCAAAATAGTAGCAATACAACGTAAAAAATATATTTGTATATGCTTGTATGTATATATGAATGTATTTTTGCGCTTACAATTATGAATATATGATTATTAATGAATTATTTGGCGCGTCGCTTGAAGATCAACTGTACATACATACATACACGTATGTACGTACGGTCATCGTTCGATGCATTAAAATCAAATGAATTTAATGAACTTTTATATCGAAGGCAACGACGACGACGAATGCAAATTAAACTCTCCATAAAAAATAATTTAAATTCTGTCACTGACTTTTTGGTTAAAAGGGCATATAAAATTTATTTATTTATTTTGTTTTTCATTTATTTATTTATTTTCAAATTTGTGCGCATACGTTTGGCACTTGTTTGCGGCTTTTTTCGGCAAACTACGTTTGGTAATTATATTTAATTAGAGTATTCAACTTATTTCAGAAATGTAATTTAATAAATGATATAAGTATATACTTTAATATTTTTTAATAAATTTGTTAAGAAAAATGATAAATAACTATTTATTTACTAAAATTGTATTTTTGCTTTTGCGGAGATTTATTTCATAAAAACTTGTATCTATTTTCCAAAAAAAATAAATAAATAAATACTAATACTTAAAAAATTACTGCTGAACTTTTTCTTTTTAAATTAAAGTTCTTAAATTCATTTATTATTTATAATAAATAGTACGAAGCATGATATGAAAATTTGATAAAAAAAAATAGGAAAAAACTTTAAAGAAATCCTCACAAGCAAATATTTTTAATTAAATATAAAATAAATTAGAAACTTTTAATCCTTATATTTCGCTTCAAAAATTAAAATTAATATTTAAATAAAATTTGAAATACATACATGTACATATACATACGTATTTGTGTATCTGCAAAATTACTTATTAAAAAATTAAATAGAGTTATTTCAAATGTACAAAATATGATCTTTCAGATTAATATTTTAAATAGAATAATTTTTATTTTCATTATGTTTGGACTAAATTTTTGCAAGCAAAAACCACAAATTGGAGGAGGAGCTCGGCGGAAAATTGCTTCGGCGGTTACAAAGCGCCAATTATATATAAAAATATTTGCAAATTTATTCAAGAATGGTTAAATATTTGAAACAATTTTATAGATTAAAATTTTTTTTTTTAATTTCTTAACTAGCATGAGTTTTTTATTAATTTACTGTTCAAAATTTTTCCTATTAAAATGCGGCTATTAAAATTTTTGATTAAAACTCTTATGGAAACTTTTTTCATGCTTTTTTTTCGTGCTTTTTTCCTTAATTTTTCGTAAAATAATACTTTTTCCAAAAAAAATTAGTTAATTAATTTAATTTTATTTTATTTCGTCACATTTTATATTTAATTTTTTAATTTTATTTTATTTTATTTTATCCTTTAATTTATTTATCTTAATTTTGTTCTTTAATTTATTTGTTTTAATTTTATTTTAAATATATTTATTTTATTTTGTTTTTAATTCATTTTATTTTCTTTCATTTGATTATATTTTAGTTTATTTAGTTTATTCTATTTTATTTCATTTCGTTTTATTTTTTAATTTATTTATTTGTAATTTATTTATTAATTATGGTTTTAATTAATTTTTTATTAGTCAATTTTCAAATATAAAAAAATGTTTCATTTAGCTTTAACAAACCGTTGTGAGCTACAAAAATATATACATGTATGTACGTATGTACACATTGATATAATATGGACACTAATTAAACCGCCAATAAAGAATTGGCAACACCGTGTAGTGAACAAAACAGAAAATTTAATAAATTAGTGGTAATAATAAACGTAACGAAAATATTGCAAAACAAAGCATAGCGAATACAAGCCAACAAACATACCGATAGACATAGAATGAATGTGACAAAAACATTTGTTACGCTGTCGCTTTTAATGTGCTCGCATGTGATTATATGTAGTCAATATAATCACATGCACATACATATACACATCTGTATATGTAGGTATACAAAAATATATCACAAAAATGCTACTTGCACTTTTTTGATGGTCTACTCTTCAGCGCCCCGCCAAAAATCTTCAAAATATCTACATACGTATGTCAATGTGTAAGTGCGTAGGAACGCGCCAAGTGCCGACGGCGGCAGTGCCGGTGATGTTGACGGTGTGTGTACTATAAGACCAGCGTATGTCCGGCAAGATTTTAAAGCGGGAAAAATTCAGGCGCGAAAATCAAATACGCATAAACATAGAAACATGTGCGTTTACGTTTGAATACAAAAATATATTTTGAAATTGAAACAAAAAAAAAAATGTTGGTAAGTATGCTCCACTCGCGCCAAGTGTCATGTATGCTAGAAATACATGCAAAAATAATAGTGTTTACTATTATGGGTGTGTGTTTGTATTTTTCTTTTTTTTTGTAGAAGATTTTCGTATTTGAAAAGGAAAGGAATGAAAAATTCCCAAAAATAAAATACAATAAAGATTTTTTGGCGCCCAAATAGAGCATGCCTATGCCTATGCCCTATGTAGGAATGCACCATTGTACATATACATATGGTGAATGTAGATATGTTTACACGAATGTGGATATAATCTGAGTAAATGCACCTTGTGGGAATTTGAAAATTTCATTAAGTGCAGTGCAGTTTTATGACAAAGAGATTGATGGAGGACCAATAGGTGAATATAAACACATACGTGTATACATCACATGTATTTGTACGCACATAGTACTTACATACAAGTGTGTGTGCGCATACGAAATTTGTGTATAAGTAAATGAAGTATGAATGTAGGCTGTATCATGTAAGGGAAATGCGCGCTAAAAGTAAAAGCGCGAAGATTTTTTTGATTTTAAATATATAAAAATACTTGCGTTAGAATATATGTACACATATGTGTATGTATCTGTTTCATGCAGTTCAATTCTATTCGGTAATATACTGCTTGGGAAGCACATATGTATGTACATATATTATATGAACATATCAAAAATTAATTAATTGATTTAAAATAAATAAAAAAAGAATAAAAATTAGATTATATAAATTTAAAAACATTATATAAATTAAAAACTAAACTGATAAATAAATTACAAATAAATTAATAAAAAAACAAAATGAAAAAAATAGAATGAACTAAAATTAAAAAAAAAAAATTAAAATAAAATGAAAGAAATTAAAATAAAATGAAACGAAAAAATAAAATTATATAAAAGATAAAATAAATTAAAAACAAAATAAAATAAAAAAGAATTAAAATAAATTAATTTAAAATAATAAAAAAATAAATTAATTAAAGAATAAAATGAAATGAAATAAAATAAAAAAGTAAAACGAAGTGAAATAAAATAAAAAAATAAATTTAAAAAAAAATAAAGTAAAGTAAAAAAAATAACTAAAATAAAAAATTAACTAAATAAATTAAAATTAAATTAAATTAAATTAACGAAAATAAAACAAAATGAAATAAAATTTAATGACATTTTGTGCTAAATAAATAAACTAAACTGAATGTGTCCAATGGTATAAGGATAAAAATATGAGTTAAGACCGAGGTACATAAATTAACAAATTATTAATATATTACATATGTACATACATGTATATAATAATTGTTTTTTTAAATTATTGAATTTTTTGTTAGACTACAACCTTAATTAAATTTTATTATTGGATATAGGCTCTGACTTTGACTGTATGTGTATGCATAACTTTATGTTAGAAGATACATACAACCACGACATATATAAATATATAATAACTTGTAAAGCCTATTGAGAATCTTAATGCAAAAATAATTATTATGATCTTTTTATAAAATTATTTTTCTAATATATAACGCATACATATGAACACTGCAGACAACCATACTCAAATCTTTCCAAGCAAAAGACAAATCTATACAAAAAATATGCTTACTTATTGTATATGTTTAAGTCTTTGAATTAAAATTTTATTGTTTAATATTAATTTAATATAACTTTTTTCACAAATTCGCCATTCTAAAGGCACTCACACTAACAAGGAAAGACAAAAATCCCAACTCAAGGGTATATGTACATGCATGTATGTACGTATGTGTTGCGGTGCCCCTGGCAATGCTTCAGTACTGCTCATTGCATAACAAGGGTTGAAATGAAGAAAGAAAATTAGCGCCAAATACAATTTTTACGCTTTTACCGCCTGCCACTGCGCGCGTAAACCTTATCGGATATTGCACGAACTACCACCATGCACTTCGCACATCCTTGCAAGGACTCATTTCAAACAAAGCAAACAAATTTACAAAGGAATTGTGAATGAATCAGGTGTTTTCAGAGTTGCCACATCTACGCTCATATATATACACACACACACACACAAGTAAACCGTGTAGTAAATTGCAAATCAAACACTTTAATTTAAAATGAACCAAGTTCAAATTCAAATTCAATAATTTTATATAAATATGTATGTATGTATATAATTTATTTGTAACATTACTCACCGGTGATTAATAACTGCTTATTGTAGGGTCTGTAGCGTGCATCGTCGTTGTTCGATTGCACATTGATGATTGTGGCACGATTGGTGTGAAGCGTTCTTAATTTAGTTTTTGTCGACAACGTTGGTGTTTTCTCAATCAGCTCCTGCCGTTTGGTGGCCGACACATGATCATCATCTTCGCTCACCGTGGCTACGTTGTCGTGTTGCACATCACTGTTTTTGTTTTTTTCCATCAGTTTATCATTTTCTTGCGCCTTTTCCAATTCCTTGGCAATCAGTACGGGTAAGGGACGTTCTTCGCTCGCCTCACTTGACGGCGGCGCGGCAGGGGCAATTATTTTATATTTCTCCAAGCGCTCTAATTGACGGGCATTTTCAATGTCAAAATTTTGCGCCATTTCAAGTCGATCCGGTTGACCGAAAAGATTTCTACGCACACCGCCAATGGGACGCACTGGACGCGTTCTAGCGTTCACTGTTGTGCTGCTATTGCTATTCGTATGTATTCTAATTGGATGTACTTGGCAGGGTGCCATTGCGTTTATTGATTTACACGTATTTTTTCCGCTTTTAATATATGTAAGTGCGCTAATAAAGCACACATGTAAAATGGTGTTTAAATGAAAATAATTATTTTCACTAAATATAAATATATTTTTTTGCGTGTTTTCTAATTTATTTTACTGCTTTGGCACTTTCCATTTGCTGTGGGAAATTTTCACTAAATTTTTCTCGTTTCTTATTTTGTAATTTTCACTGCACTCAACTGCGTTTTCTACTTCGCGTCGTTCATTTAAGGTTTGTTGGTTGAATATCTTATTTAGTCACTTGGCGGTTCTAATTTCTAACGTATGTTTGTAATTAGTTTTCCTCTCTAATAGTAGTATGCGCTTTGTTGCTACAATTGGCGAATTACACAAAAATCTCATAGATACACACGCGCACACTCATCATATACATATATATATATAAATATGTATGTATGTTTGTACGCACAAAAGTGCGCCAGAGTCAAATATACAATGAACTTCACGAGTAGACGATCAAACTGCGAATGGAAATTGTATGCTAGAGCAATGGCGACCAAGATGTCAACCCGATGTGCTTTCAGTGTTGCATAGTTGTGTAGTAACACAATTTGCGCTGCAGAGGAAATGTGAATGGGCGAGTAACGAGTAGCGAATGTGGTATTTGAAACAATAAAGAGTGTTTCGTTAACATTTTCTGGCAATAACAGAGCACTTTTAGCACTTTACATTAACAGTATTTAGTAGGTGAATGTTAATGTTAATTAAAATTTATTTAACAACTCAAATAAAAGAATGTAAATTGTGCAGAAAAAAGCTAGTGATTGAGCAAGTCTTTTTTGTTACCTACAAAGCGTTAATTTTTTGTAATAATTTTCAATTTCCCAATTCTTTTTAGAGAAAAGTGAAAAGAAATTCGTGTTTCATTAAACTTTTAATTTTCGTGCAAAATTCATTTTACTTATTTTCTTTCTCTCAATCTGTATTCGTATAATGCTGTGGCCTTGAATACCACAAACACTCTTGCTCTCCAGCTGGAAAATATACGAATTCTATTGATTTTCAATTTAAACATTGCGCACTTGATTTCGTTTTGCACAGAGAAGGTGTGCAATACATACATACATATGTACATGAATATGTACACTCATTGTTAATAAATAAACATATATTTTTTTTAATATATATTTGTGCTAATTCAAATATATTAATTATTTTCAGCATGTAAGTTGGCTTCTGAATGCTTCATTGAAATTGAATTTAAAATGGTTTCGTTCTTCAAATAACATTTCCTACGACAACAGTTGTTAAACTGACAATATTAACGTATATTTCCTATGATGATTTCAAGCTGTTTCGTATTCAGTTGCTCTAATAAGGAACTTAAAATTGTGTTGCAAAGCTTGCACCCAATACAAATTTCGGGTGCCATTACCGCATCCGCATGTCCATAATTATCAGCTCCATTATATCGATGTGAGGCTGATCTTTGTTTCTGTAATGTGCTGTTTCTGTTCTGTCGGAAAGGTCAGACTTCGATGCTGTTAAACATCTGTGTGTGTCAACTCGCGTTCCAATTCATTACCTTCACAATGATATATAAGAGCATATCGAAAGATTACTTGGCCACCTCCTACTCTTCGCATCCCGAAATTGTCATGACACAATCTGTTTGGCAATTTCCAGAAATCCTCATGTCCAGAAAGAAACTGAGTTGGTAAGAAATTCGTTTTCCATAACGTCTTTACACCCATCTACTCAATCAGAGCATGAGCTTGGAAATTTATCGGCCTTGCTAAAGTTATGCAATCGCTCCTGCCGGTCTCTTTTAGACCGGAAACAATATACCTCAACTTGGTCTCATGATTTCTAAAGGTTATTCCTTTCCTTTACTCTTCAAGTATACCAGCTAAGATTAGATTAGCTAGAACAAGAGCTACGCTATGCAATATCTTTCCTACGATACCACTAAATCCCTGGATAACTGTTAAAACTCATATATGTATATAATGGGCGCTTTGAAACCACTGAAGGGATTTTTCGGCCGAGCTCATCCTCAAATATGTGCGGTTTGCGTCTTGATGGTTTCCAACAAATGGAGGGACTTACATTTTATGCTAAGTCGCCTACGAATGGCTGATGGTTTTTTTACAAGGAGCCTTTATTTCAAGTCCGAAATACACTCGGAGGGGTGGACATTCCCTGCCGAGAGGTGACCGCAATTAGAAAATTTATATGAGTTTAAAAATAAATTAATTAATTTAGTTTAATTTATTATAAGATAATAAATAAATTTGGTATTCGCAAATCCTAAAATATCAAATAATTTTTGCTTTTTTCACCTTCTGTTACCGTTAAGGGCATTACAAGTCTGCTGCTGTGCTTCTTGGTACAAACTGCTATCATTACAGTAATAAAAATGAAAGTAGCTAAAATTTTTAGTTTACAAAAACAAAATGTTTAAATATTTTTAGAAGTAATAGTAGAGAAATATCTTTTTCATACTAAAATTTTTGCATTAATTTCAGTAAAAAATTTATGTTGAATTTGTGATGAATTTATTGACTTCATTACAGTTCGTGCAGAGCCCGCCTCTGTTAGCATTAATTTACAAGTGTTACTTAACAGTAGGGGAAATCTTTAAATGTACCACTTAACATAACATCTGTTACTCGCTACATATCGCCTTGGCGGCTACGCTGCTATGCAACCCTGTCAGTGTGTTGACGAGTGCAAGCGAGACAAATGCAGAGAACCTATAAAATACTACGATTTTCACTGAATTCTCTGAGAGTATCAAGAGTTCGAACGTGATTGTTCCAATTTGTTGCTACGACTTGTTTACGGCGTGCACAGAGAGTGACGTCGACGTCAACGTTGGCGTTGTAAACAATATCGGGCTTTTGTTTTGGTCGCTTATTTCGCGTTTTGTGTGTGTTTTTAATGCTGCTGGCGCACGAGACTTTGTCGATACTTTTTTGTTGGTTTGTAAAAATTTGCAAACTCATAAAAAATGTGTTTTGTTTTCCTCGGTTCTTTCGCCAATCGCCAGTTGCCAGTTGCCAATTGCTTACAGTAGCCAGGCGGTATGTATGGAAATATGTATGCATGTATGTATGAACATATGTACGGACGTAGAGTATGTTTGTATGTATGTATTTACATACGCTTTTAGCGCAAATAGTACGGAAACGGTTTTTTGTGTACTGTAATACTGTTGTTTTTTATTTTTATTATTATTTTTTTTTTTTTTTTTTTGGTTTGTCTGGTTAGCGCTTTTTTGTGCTTACTCCTTTTGTTGTGGCTTTTTGGTAAATTTATTTTTTGCTTGCTTTATGATTAACATTTCATGTACTTTTTTTACTTTTCGTTGGTATTTCTTTTGTTTATTAATAAACATTTATTCATTCATTCATTTTAACAGTAGAAGGCTCGACCGCTGCCGGAACTAAATGGAAAATTATGGCAGGTGAGTGTGCGAAATGTGTTGTATGGAGGTGTGTTTGTTCGTTTCTGTGTTCATTGAAGGTGAGAATTATGTGTGTATATGTATGTACAAACATATATATCGAGTTATATACTTAGATAAATATAATGAAAATATTTAAATGAACTGAAATTACTGCATTAATTGTTTTTGTTTAAATTTTATTTTTAAATTAGTGCGCAGGGAGCAGGGATGGCAGGGATCGGACTGACTTAATTAATTTATTTAATTTCACTGTTTTTTTTTTTTTGCAAAGAGTGACTAATGGCCACTTTAAAACCACCCTGCAGGCACCCTTTGCTCGATCAGGTATGCATGTCGGTATGTATGTATGTATGTAAATAGTAGCTACGGCCTTCGTGGTGGTGGCGCATTCCAATCAGCGTCGTCATTGCACCAGCAGCATTGCACATATGTACATACATATGTACATGCATACATATTAGTACCACTCTTCCCCTTTCGGACTTAATCCTCGCGCCAAAAAGTAGCGTCGCTACGCAAAAACAAATTTACCTAAAGGCCAACTGACAGACACGGGCAAATTGGCTGCTGACACACGCACCGCTGCGTAGTTATTGTTTCCCCGCAGTGTTATTGTTATTGTAGCAATTTGGCAGGATATTTGCTTGAGCCAATACTTGTGTCGATATATGTATGTATGTACATATGTATGTACGTACTCCTTTCGATTTTGTTTTGTTCGTCTGTTTTTTTGTTCTTGTTCTTGCTTTCACTTTACCCAAACAATGAAATTTCAGCTTTCGATCGTTTTGAATAAAAGAATGAATAAATGGATGAACGGATGAAAGGAGAAAAAGGTAAAATGTTACTATTGAAGCGTTGAATGTGCATAAATTCATATTTACCTACACACATGCATACACACACAAGTGCCGCAGTCGATCGAATATTTTAAAGGATATGTAACTGGGATTCCCGAAGAGGTATCTATGTACAATACATACAAGTACATACATACATACGTACGAATGCATATTGCTTTCTTCGATAATTAACGTCATGTTGTATATGCTTGTATATATGTGCATATGTATATAAATATTTTTGCAAGGGTTCTCATTATAGCCCAAGGTTAGGTTAGGTTTCGCTAACTCACCCGGGAAGTGTCTCACGTGACATTCGACTTTTTTGATATTTGTAAGAGATGAACCATCATTGACGAGTCTGGTCTCACCGCTTTCCACTTGTAAACTCAATATAAGATAGTTATTCGCTAAGGATGCTGATTTAAGATAGAAAAATCTAATTACATGTCATGTGGCCAAGACATTGTGGCAAGAAAGGAACGGCAGATGGCCACGTGACCACATCGAGCTGAAAAGAATGGAGATATCTATAGTAATAGGTCTTCTTACAGGTTTTATTCGGCTGAGAGATTGGGCGTACCATCCAACGATTTCGGCAGAAGTTGCAGTGAAGAAGAATAACCGGAAACCTAAAGGCACTCTCTATGCGAATGCCCCGCACTTTGGATGAGTAGGCTGAAGTTTCTGGGGGCGGCAACCTTTAGAGACCTGAGCGAGACGGTGGCCAAGATGCGGCGATTGTTCAGCTTTGAATACTCAACTCACTAGTTTGATTAGCGGGTAGGGGTCATTAGGATCCTTTTTGGTCCAACCAACCAAGAAACGGACCAGATTGTAAAGCGCAGAGCTGAAAGTTGAAAAAAGCGAGAGATAAGGATCACTCCCCTGTGAGCTAGGTATGCTTCTTCTTCTTCTTTATTGGTGTAGACGCCACTTACATGATTGGTGCCGAGTTACTAACAGTGCGCCATTCCTTCCTTCATTTCGCTGTTTAATGCTAGAGCCTGAACTTTGTTCGACGAAAGAGGAATCAGCATTTGTGAGAAGCATTTGGATCGCCTGAAGGAAGCCATTGCTCATAAACACCCAACTTCAACCTACAGGAGGTGAATTGTTTTTCTTCAGCACAGCGCCAGACCACACAACTCGATAGTGACTCGGCAGAAGCTCCGATAGCTGGGTTGCATACATCTTATAGACCGTACCTCGGACCAAGTGATTACCAACTGTTCTTGTCTATGGCGAATAATTTGGCTAGTGAAAAGTTGGCCTCAAGGTAAGCCTGCCTATCTTTTGCAAATGGGGACCGGCACAATATTAGCATCTGCTTAGC